CGCTGCTGAGGCCGCCACCGAGTGTCTCCGTGAGTATCGCCCAGGCTGGCCCCGTGGTCACGCTGTGTGGCTGCTCCCAGTGGGCTGCACTGGTGCTTCATCAGCTCGGCCAGCACCTCCTGCCGCCCTTCCTGGGGTAGAAATGTGCCTGCTCCGTTTTGCAAGGCTGCTCCAGGTGGGGAGGGAGGTTTTATGTCCCAGGGCCCCCCTTCACAGCATCACCCCGAGGATCCCCTGACATTTTCTTACCCCATGCGTGCAGCTATCTGCTCCATGCACAGTGCTGCACTCCCAGTGGCAGAGGCATTCCCGAAAGCTCGTGCCGCTGAGCCAAGCAGCACCTGTGGCTCATCCAGCCCCGCAGGAGGTTGCTTTAGCCCCTGGGTGAGCCTTGCGCCCACCGGGTGCCACTGAGCTGCAGCTGACCACCCTTCCTGCCCCCCCTCCCACCCCCCAGCTTGCAACTGCAGCGGCCGCTCAGACGAGTGCTTCTACGACCGGGAGCTGTACCGCCGCAGCGGGCACGGGGGCCACTGCCGCAACTGCCGCGACAACACGGCCGGGCCCCACTGCGAGCGCTGCCAGCAGAACCACTACCGCTGGGAGCAGCGGGCAGCCTGCCAGCCCTGCCACTGCCACCCCGCAGGTGCGTGGGGCTGCGCCGAGCCGAGCTCCAGTGCGAACCCCTGCCCTAGCTGGGGCTCGGCTGGGGGGGGGTGGTTTTGGTCGGTCCTCCCTTGCCTGGGGTCTCCCCATCTTCCCCCCGTGTCTTTCCCCATCTGGGGTTGAGCCTCAGGGCTGGCTGGGGTCCCCGCAGGCTCCCTGCAGCCCCAGTGTGACAGCTCGGGGACCTGCCTCTGCAAAGCCAACGTGACGGGCTGGAAGTGCGAGCGCTGCAAGGACGGCTACCACAGCCTCAGCGAAGGTGGCTGCAGGTGAGGGGGAGCACGGCCCCGCGCAGGAGCAGTGGGATGGGACCCGGGCTCACCTTCGTCTCACCCCATCCAGACCCTGTGCCTGTGACCCCGCGGGCAGCGTGGGCACCTGCGACCCCAACACAGGGCGTTGCACCTGCAAGGAGAGGGTGGAGGGGCACTTGTGCAACAGGTAAGCGCTGCGGGATGGGGATGAGACCACGACCCCACTCCAGGCTGGGATCAATGCTGGGGCTTGGTGCTCAGTGCAGGGCAGGCGTCTTTGCCCCTGTGGGGCATTGCTGCTTCCCCAGCCCCTATGCATGACCCCTCGCAGGGGCTTTGCCATGGGAATCCGGCGGGGTTGCTCCCTGCAGGGGCCCTGGCTGGCTGGCGAGGCCATGGGGCTGCATCCCTCTGGACCACTGGGACTGGGCTCGCTCAGGGCTGCCACCGGTGTCCCCCTGGGATGCTGCTATGGTCCCCCGTGGCTTTGCCTGCCCCACGCCATGTGCTCCTGTTTCCTCCCCATGCCCAGGTGCCAGCCAGGCTGGTTTAACCTGCAGCCCCACAACCCTGCTGGCTGCACCAGCTGCTTCTGCTACGGCCACTCCACCGCCTGCACGGCAGCCGATGGCTATGAGGTGACCCACGTCCGCTCTGACTTCAGCCAAGGTACTGACCCCCCAGCCCTGGGTGAAACAGAAGGCACAGCTGTGCCAACAGCCAAAAAACTCGGGCAGTTTAGGAAGGCTGCAGCTGAGCACCCTGCTCTAGGGCTCAGCATCCCCCTTTGGGGCTGAGCACCTTGCTCTGGGGTTGAGCACCCCCCCTTTGGGGTTGACTGGTGATGATGACCGAGGGTGATTTCTCTGGCTTGTCCCTATTTTGCTGTTAAATCTCTGCTTTTGCCCCCAGCTCCGTGGGGCCAGGCTCTCCCTGGCTCCCTGTGGCATCCCTCCATGCTGGCCTGCTCCTGAGGCTGTGCATCTGTGCATGGCTCAGGGAGGGCTGGGGGCTGTGCACGGCCATCCCGCCACACCAGGGACTGCAGGAGCACTAAAAATCAGCTCAGAAAGACAAAAACCGAAAGGATGGAGCCTGATGGGAACTTTCCCCCTTTTCCCCTCCTCTCCCCATCCTCGGCTGGGCTGGCGCAGCGGGGGGGGGTGCTCCTGCCCAGCTGCAGCCAGGGCCGTGTGTGGCAGGGCTGGATGTGTGCGGGATGTTCGGGGAAACCCTGCCATCTGCCGCGCAGCCCGACGTGTGCAGCCCTGGCTGCGGGCACACCACGGCCCCTGCTGTGGCCCCCGCTCCCGGGGACCCCCGCCGGCACCCCGGCAGGGTGCGAGCACCCATGGCAGACAGCCTGGCTCTCTGCCTTGCCCGTACCCCGACAGGGTGCACACGCCAGCGAGCAGATGGAGGTGAACACGCCAGGCGCGGGTTTATCCCCATTGCCTTTAAACCACGCTGCCAATTGCTGTACTGCTGTAACGTCTTCCACGGCCTTGAAATGCAGCCAGGCTTTAAACCCTGTCTTTTTTCCACCCTGCATGCAGCCAGTTTGGGGCTGCTCCTTTAGGGACAAATTTGGCAGGGTTGCCAGAGGCTCAGCGTGGCTGGGCAGGGTGCAGCCACCCACCCTCCTGCAGCCCCGCTCCCCAATCTGCAGCTGAGCTGGATCAGCTGGAATTTTTCTGTGCTGGGTGAAAGGGCCCAAATTCAGGGTGATTTGATAATTGAGTGCAGCCCACTTAATAGCTGGGGAGAGATTTCCAAGTGTTCTTCCTGCAGTCGCCTGGGGCTGGAAGAAATAACTAACCCTGGGGAGTGTGGGGGGGTGTAGTTTAACTGATTTCCAAAGGAAACCAACTTAATGCAATTACGCCCCGTCTCTCCCTGGGCTTCCTGCACTCTTCAGCCCACAGTAACATTGGAAGCACACCACAGGCAGGGGGGCAAAAGTTTAAAGATAATAATTTCCTCCAAATCTAAGAAAATAAACAGAAGGGGGGGAGGGGGAGGGCAGCAGCTAGGGCCACTCGCCAGCGTGTGAGAGCCCAGAGCCCGAGCGGAGCAGGGTGTTACAAAGCACTGGCCCCTTATAAGCCCCTGAGAGTCTCAGGCAGAACCCCTGGAAGCAGCACCCGGCTGGGGCTGGGCTGCTGGGGACTCGCCGCTCCCTGCGCCCGTGCACTGCCGCTGCGTGCTGTCACGCAGGGCTGGAGGGCTGGGCTGCCACAGCTCCGGGCACCGTGGACCTGCCTCTGCATTGGGCCGATGGGGAGATTGTCGCCGAGTGGGACGGAGAGGAGCCGGTGGATTTTCTTGCACCAGGTATTGCCCCTGGGGTCGTGGGGACCCCCCAATGCTCTCGTGGGACATCCCACTGCTATGCTGGTGCATGAGGCGCTGGGCTCCATCCCAGAGCCGGGCGTGTTTCAGTAACAGAAGACAGTGGTGGGGATTGGAGCGGTGGGTCAGGACCCTGGGAGGGCAGGTTGGAGCTGGCCCTGCTCTAGGAGGGTGACTGGCTCCTGGTGATGCTGGTGGGAACAGGACCGTGCTAGTATCTGCAGCAGAGTTGGTATGTCCATGTCTTACAGACTTCCCTTCTCTTTCTCCTTGCAGAGAAGTTTCTGCAGAACCAGCATCTCAGTTACGGGCAGCTCCTGTCCCTGCTGCTGGGAGCAGAGGGGAACAGGACGGGGACGGAGACCAGGGTGCCCCTGCTCCAGGTCCAGCTGGTGCTGGAAGGCGAGGGGATGGAGATCACCATGTCAAGCAGCGAGAGCCAGCACCAGCGTGGAAAGCAGGCTGTCACCTTCAGGTACCCACCGCGGCACCTTGGGGAACCCCAGCTGGGTTTGGGACACAGCGTGTCTGATCTTGCCTGGGCTGCCCTGTGCTGTAGGGTTCAGCCTCACTCCCTGTCCACCTCGGGGATTTAACTGTGCCCCCATCACTGAGCCCAGGTCTTGGTCAGGGAGCCAAGCTCTCCTGTGGCGCGTGGCTGTCGGGCTAGATCTGTCCTTCCTCCCACATTCCTTCTCCAACAGGCTGCACGAGGCAGAGGAGGGTGCGGAGCCTTCGCTGTCAGCCTTCAGCTTCCAGCGCCTGCTCTCCAACCTGACCACCCTTCGCCTCCGCGTGAGCCACAGCCCCGTGCATGGTGGGTGACTCCATGCAACATCCCTGTGGGGACCGAGCTGGGATGGGGCTGGGGACATCGACGCAGCATCAGGCTCTCAGGGGCGAGAGGCATTGCAGGGGGTGTGCTGGGGTAGGGGCTGGCTCCTCTCTGTGAACACCCCTAGGCTCTCCAGGAGGTATTTTGGGGTCCTCTATGCCTGTCTGGAGCATTTCCCAGCAGGATGGAGCGAGTGGGGCCAGGGGACGTGCCACCCCATTCTCATACTGTTCTCCCCCCTCACAGGCAGGCTGTCCCTGAGTGAGGTCCAGCTCACGTCCGCTCGCCCCGGGCCGGGGCCGCGGGCGCGCTGGGTGGAGGAGTGCACATGTCCCCCAGGCTACACCGGCCAGTTCTGCCAGTCCTGCGCACCCGGCTTCAAGCGGGAGATCCCCTTTGGCGGCCCCTTCGTCAGCTGCGTGCCCTGCGCCTGCAACCAGCACGGGGACTGCCACCCCCTCTCAGGTGCGCACCCCCCAGCCCCTCCGCTCATCCCATCGCTGCGCGCACGGGCGACGAGTTCATGTCTTTGCTTGTGCTTTTGCTTTTGCTTGAGCCATGCTGGAAACCACCCGTGAGGTTGCAGTACCCAAAACTTGCAAGTGGAATTGCTTGGCTGGTCATAGGGACTGGGTACGTAACCGCTGAGATAATTAGCGAACTGCAATAACGGTGGTAATTTATAATGGGAGGGTACTTTATGGTTTTAAAGGGGGAGAAAGGAAAGGTGCTGGTCCCCAGTGGGGCCGGGGAGACAGGGGTCAGGGCAGGAGAGAGGCAGAGGTGTTTTGCCAGGATGGGTCTCGCAGGCAGCATCGCTGCCTGAGGAGTGCAGCAGGACTGGGCGCAGCCCCGGCGCCTGCAAACTGGGGGAGAACCTAAGCAGAGAAACAAGTAAAAGAGCAGGAAAACACAGTGGTGCCAGGCTTTTGCGGGAAGGCACCAGAGGGGCTGGCGCTCGTGCTGCCAGCCTGAGCCCTGCTCTGCCTCCAGATCCCGCTCGGAGGTGTGTGACTGCAGCAGGGACTGCGGTGTGAAGGGAGGAAAGAGCAAAAGCAAAGTCTTCAGGGCAGCGTGGCTGTGCCTGGGGTGGTTTGCAGGGTGTTGGCTCTCCCCTCTCCTGCCAGGCAAAGTGTCCGGATGGCTTTGGTTGGGGAAGGAGGGGCAGGATTGCAAACCACTGCCCGCTGGCTCCGTGAATCTAGCACCAGCCTTGCTGCTCTCGGTCCCAGGGAAAGGCAGATCAGAGCCATGAGGGGCTTGTGAGACGCTGCCGTGCTCCCCATCCACCCCCACAGAAAACAGCAGCTCCGATCAGTGGGGAGCGACATTAGCGCCCGGCCGGGATGGAAAGGGCTGGAAGAGGCGATGTGCCCAGCGAGTGCCCCTGCCCTGCCAGCAGAAAGGCAGCAGCAGCTCTGCAAACTCGCCTCTCGTCTCTCAGAGCCGGGGCTGGCGCCGCTGGCTGCACAATCCCCAGGGATGGGGCCAGGCTTTTGATGTCCTGGCCCGGGTGCTGCCAGCCCGCACACTTCCTTTCGTTTATTTTTCCATTCCTTCCTGCCACCCACTTTTCCTTTCTTTTTGATCGTCTGGTTCTGCCTGGATGCAGGAAAAATGGAAAAACGCCCGTTCCTTCCTGCACAACCCGCCTGGTATGACCCGACCCCACAAATCATGGGGAAAAATCCTCCCCCTGGCTCCTTCTCTCTCTCCAGTCAAGCAGAGCATCTGCCTGGAGGTGGGGGGTTCCTCGAGCATCCTTCCTCCTCCTCCTCCTCCTCCTCCCAGCAGGCCCGGGCACAGGAACGGGAGACGGCAGGCCGAGACAACGGAATTAACTTTATTGGTTGGTTTTTTGTTTTCTAACTGCAGATTCAAGGTATACAACTGAACATTGCTATTTTCCTTATGAGACTTATAAATAAAAATACAAAAAATGTTCACTACAAAAAAATCTACCGTTAGTAGGATGTAAAAAATATTCTCTTTGCTCTAGAAGGCACGAACTTCACTTAGTGACACATGGAGAGAAAAAAACCTGCAGCAGTATATTCTTCTTCTTCTTTTTTTTTGTCTTTTTTTTTTCCTCTGGCAGAAACACTGAAGTCTTACAAAGAAACGCATCTGAATCTACACAGGACGAAGGCAGATGTGGAGAGCTGCAACTAGGAGACACCACAACCTGGGGGGGGTTTGGGGTTTTTTTTTTTTTTCTTTTTCTTTATTTTTCAGGAAACTTTCAGCTAACGGCATCTGTGGCTAGAGGACAGAGAGGACTCGCAAGCAGAACCGCAAGGGAGCGAATGGCGAGGGGAGAGGGGGGAGGAGGAGGAGGTCGTACAAAAAATAGGAGCCGATAGATACTCTGAGAAAACCAAAGGGGAGCTTGGGCACCTTCTGCGCCCGGGCCCAGAGAGGTGCTGAGGCATGACGGTGCTGCCTGCGTGCGCCAGCGCCACCTCGTCCCCGCATGGCAGGGGAGCATGGAGCTGGTGCTGGGGCCCTGGCATCTTCTCCAAAACCTTCTCCCTTAAGCAAGGATGGGGAAGGGAGGGAAAATGTTCCAAGTCCTGGCTGGGGATGTGTAATCCCAGCGTGTTCCCTTGGCTGGAGCTGTGCATCCCTCTCAGCACCTGCGGTGTGCCATGCTCAGCACTTGGCTCTCCATCCTTCCCCTAGTCCCTGCTGTTATTCAGGGCTGGGTTTTTGCAGACCCTCAGCTCCGTTTTCCTCCTCACAGGGCACTGCCAGTGCTTGCACAATACAGAAGGTCCCTCCTGTGAGCGCTGCAGCCCTGGGTTTTATGGCAACCCCTTCCTAGGGCACTTTGATGACTGCAAGCCGTGCCCCTGCCCCGGCCACTCGCCCTGCACCGAGGTGCCCGGCAGCGGGGAGGTGGTCTGCACCCACTGTCCCCCCGGGCAGAGAGGTGAGGCTGGGGGCGGGTGGGCGAGGGGGCTGCAGGCAGCGCCGGCACAGCCAGACCCTCCCCACCTTTTTGCCTTCCCCAGGAAAACGCTGCGAGCTCTGCGATGATGGGTTTTTTGGGGACCCGCTGGGGCAGAGGGGCCCTGTGCATCCCTGTGTCCCCTGCCAGTGTCATGGGAACGTGGATCTCAATGCCGTGGGGAACTGCGACCCCGTGTCCGGCCGGTGCCTGCGCTGCCTGTACAACACGACAGGCGAGCACTGCGAGAGGTGTCGGACAGGCTTCTATGGGGATGCGCTGGCTCCCAACCCTGCCGGGAAGTGTGCACGTACGTACGGCCCTGGGGGCCGACCCTGCTCCCCTGCAGCCCTGTTTGATGGCGGGGGACGTGGCCCTCCATGTTGTGAGGGGCTCAGCCCCATTGCCCCATTCCCGCTGCCCCATCCACCAGCCCCGTGCCGGGATGTAAGCAGCATTTTGTCTCCCATAGCTTGTGATTGCAACCCTGATGGCTCAACCCCGGGGCTGGAGGGCTGCGATCCCAGCACGGGCCAGTGCCACTGCCTCCCGCACGTGACGGGCAGAGCCTGTGGGCTCTGCCAGCCTGGCTACTATGGCCTGCAGCCCGCCGTGGGGTGCAAGAGGTGTGTGGGGCATGGCATGGGGCTGTGAGGGGGCAGCAATGGCTCTGTGTCCCCTGCTCCTGTCTCTGCTCTTTGCATCCATTGCTCCCTCGTCACCCACTGCCTCTCGGTGCCAGCTGCGAATGCCACTCGACGGGGTCACGGGAGAGTGGGTGCCACACGGTGACAGGGCAGTGCTCCTGCCAGCCCGGCGTCACGGGGAAGCAATGCGACCGATGCCACCACGGCTTCTTCGGCTTCTCAGCCAGGGGCTGCCGAGGTAACAGGGATGGGGACCACACCTCGGTCCCTAAACCAGGGCTGGCAGCCATGGTGTGACGCCTTTCTGCCACTGTCGCAGCCTGCAACTGCTCCCCGCTGGGCTCCGTCACCCCGCAGTGCCATGAGAACAGCACCTGCCTCTGCCGCCCTGGCTTTGTGGGCTACAAGTGTGACCGGTGCCAGGCCAACTTCTTCCCTGACCCACCAAGCTCCCGTTGCCAGCAGTGTCCTGCCTGCTATGGGCTGGTGAAGGACGAGGTACAGCCTGTGCCCTGCTGAGGTGGGCACAGCGCCCCGGCCCCTGCACTGCCTCACTGATCCCCTGTGTCCCCCTGTGTCTTGCCCGCAGGCGGACCGGCTGAAGGCCAGGCTGCAGGAGATGGAGGAATGGCTGCAAAAACCAGGCTGCGACACCCGCCCGGACCAGTCCCCCATGCTGGGAGATGCACCCCGGGGAGACGGGCTGCCCAGCCCTCACCTCCTGCAAGGTACGGGGGGAGCCCCACGTCGCCCCTCTGGGGCCCCTCTGCTCCCGCAAGGTGCTGTGACATGCTGGGTGGGTGCAAGGAGGTCCCAGGTCAGCGCTGGGCTCAGCATGGGTGATGGGGTGACCGAGAGAGGGAGGACAGCTGGGGGAGCCATGCCTTTTCATGCAGGTCAGAGCACCACAGGGATGCTTGCACCCGTGAGGTTTTGGAGGAGCTGGTGATGGGCGTCACTGGGGGTTGAGCATCAGCACATCCCTGCTGCATCCCTGGGTCCCTCCTGAGCACCCGGTGGGGGGGTCTGTCTTCTCCTTTCATTAGCAGGCAGATGAGGGTGTGCTCGGCCATGGGGCAGCCCCACAGGCAAGTGGGGAGCCCCGGAGCACCTCCGTGGGCAATGAGCAGCTGCTTGTGCTGCCCACAGGTGCCCGGGCTGCTCTCCCAGCGCAGGTGGGGCGGCTGGCAGGGGGGCTGGGCCCCGGCGCGGGCCA